TGAGAGTGAACTGACGGTTTCTGTGGCAGCAATACGCTGACTAGGCGTCTAGTCTGCCTAAGAAAAGAAGAAGGTGATTTGGGTGTGTCAGGCACTTCCACCTGGAACACCAGGCGCGGAAGCGAGACGAAGCACCATGAAACGCTTCTAATCAGCATCCTTGCTAACCTACACTCTTGGTCACATCAGCCGTGAAGCGCCGCGAACGCTCGCTCTGTGCAGCGATCGTTTCTGCGTGAGCTCTAATTTTTTTGTGAGCCGTGTCAATTCTAGTAGAAAGTCAAACCAAAACAGAAGAGGCAGGCTGGTAGATTTAACAAAATAAAAGAAAAATTTCAAAATAAAACACTGCGATTGATAAATGTGGTCATTTTTATGTATCTAACAGACTAGAGAGATGAAAATGAACCATCACACACACATACAGTCCTGCGGGGAAACAAAGCGTTTCCATAATTTAACTGCAGTTTTTACATTAAAATGGATTTAATAAATGTGAATACAAACAAATACGTTTAATTCAAAGGTAACTATACAATAGCACTGTACACTGCCACAAACACCAGTTATCTACTTAACCTTTTAGACAGGAACTGGTCTACACAACAGGATCAGCACAGTTTCTGATATCAACAAGCAGGACAAACTGGTTACACACACACACACACACACACACACACACACACACACACACACACACACACACACACCGCACCCCTGACACACTGGTGTACGGTTGGAGTGGATGGTTTTAAACAAGAGCCACGGACCTAAGTTGTGTTTATTAATGGAAACTCTGTCGAATGCAGTCGCACTAATGACGCCTCTGGAGCAGCTCTGGTGTGAGCTAGCGTGAGGAGCAGCTCCTGTCTAACGGGGACGGCGGGTGGAGCAGGACCCGACCGGGCAGATTCCCGGTGGGCCGGTCTGGTCGGTGTTTTTAGATGTCTGTGTTTTTAGGTCAGTGTTAACTCGTGGTACGCTGATGATCAGCTGCTGCTGATGAGAGGATTTGTCCTGTCAGTGTGGAAGGAACAGGTGAGCTGCTGAACAAGCTTTAGTTCCTAGAAACACGCTCTAGCCAGACTGTAGTGGCCTGTTATTTATAGTTTTATAATTAATATTAAGTGAATGCACTAAACCCACGGCTGATGGAACATCAGATTAAACAAGCCAGAATATTTTCTCCCACAGCTCAGCTCTGTTAGAAATAAGCAGATGTCTGCTTGATCTGGATGATGTCACAAATAAAAACGTGTTCACAGATAACTGGTCTTTAATGAAAAAGAATCAGTGTTTCCCTTACATAGGCGTAGCCGTGGCGGCCCGCCACAGCGGAAATCCCAGCGCCACGCCTACAAGATCCCGTTTTATAGATTTAAAAATAATATTTTTTTTTGCACCGTTTCCCGAAGAAGCAGCGGGAACTACTCTGTTGTTGCTTGTGATCACAGCCGGCAGGCAGCAAGGAGGAGGAGGAGGCAGGGCAGGGTGGTTACAGCTAGGGATGAGCCGGATACTCGTCCGGTACGGATAAAGCATTTTTGATGAATACGAGCATGAAACGAGTAAAACTCGTAAATGTCTGTAATCGTGCTGAAGGAAAATCCTCATTGGGTAACTGACTGCCTTCACACTCTGTGATTGGCCAGTCACATAGAGCGCCCGCCCCTCCCTACACACAAAACTCTGCAGCCGTCCCTTGGAATGGGAAGACCGTATCGAAGAGGCCAACGAGCGAAAGAGGAAGCTCAGTTCGGCCCACGCACACACACACATAGACAGTAACGGGTCTCTCGAAGCTTCACTGTGGCTCACGTTTCTTCAGAACTCCCTAGGTTTTCTTCAGATCGACTCTTTTTCGGTTTAATATTTAAAGTTACTTTTGTCATAACGTACATGGTGCATTTGACAAGACAGAGCTGAAAACGGCTCGTGCTGCGTCGGTCACTGCCTCCGCTCTGGTCGGGTTTTTAAAACTTATTTTAACTCTCTCTCTCTCTCTCTCTCTCTCTCTCTCTCTCTCTCTCACACACACACACACACACACACACACACACACACACACACACACACACACCTTGTTTTGTTTTTGTGTGGGAAAAAAACACCAGTTTGATCATAAATTAACATAAAAAGTTGTGCCTTGTTCTAGTTCATCTTTCCTACTGCATGTGTTCATTCATGCACTTAAATATTCAATTAAACTTTATTTATAAAGCGCCAAATTACGCCAATATTCCTGTTCTAATTTTACTGAAAAACTTGTTCTGTAATAGTTTCTTTACTATTGTGATCAAAAATACTGAATCTCAGTTCTGAGGCTGCGCTGTAAATAGTTTTCAAATGAACAATACACATATCAACTTCTGATCAATCCTTATCCATTTCAGATTTAAAATGTTGTACCGATTAAAGCCCCACCTACTTCCACACCCAGTTCCTGTTTAGGCCCCGCCCACTCCGTGTACAGATACAGATAGTGGTGCACTTGCTCATCCCAAACCAGCAGGGCACCACAGGGAATCGAACCCCGTCTCATTGAGAGTACCTTTACCAGTGCCTTTTACCTTTTGTTTTGACGAGGAAAATCAAAACCTGCATCAAGAAATCCAGAAATGACCTCAAAATGCAGAAAAAACACACCTTTAGTAATCAGTTTAGGCCTGATTCAAGATGAGTTACTTAGTGATTTGTTAACTAGCTTCTTTAGTTTTAAACCTACTTACTAAACAGCGCTTTGAGTTGAGTTCATGATGCTAGTTAGTTAACAGGCTCCTAACTAAGGAACCCAGCAGATTGCATGGAGACACTGACTCGTTGTGCAACACGTTCTCACACCCAAAGCGTCTAAATCTGACGAAGGGAGACCAAGCGTTTCTGTCCGACAGCGCGTCGGGAGGCGACGTGCTGTGCCACAGCGTCTCTTTCCGACGCCCGCAGTAAAACGGAGATTTTATCAAAATGTGACCCGTACCCATTTAACCTTCCAGCACCCCCGTCCTAACCTTTACCCACTTCTGCATGCAACAATGTGTTTCTTGTTGTGTCGTTCCTCTCAAACACGGTTAACGGGAAATTTAGAACGAGAAACTGGGTTAAGGTTAGGATGGGGTGAAGGGAAGGTTAAATCGCTAGGGGTTAGAGGTTAAATGCTGATGAAATCTCCGTTTTACTGCAGGCGTCAGAATGAGACGCTCTAACACATCGCGTCGCCTCCCGACACGGTGGGAGTCCCAACGCTTCGGGAATACCCTTTGACTACATTTTCATGGCTCACAAACACATATGTCTAAATAATGTTCAAATCAAATCAAATCACTTTTATTGTCACGTCACATGTGCAGGTACACTGGTACAGTACATGCGAGTGAAATTCTTGAGTGCGAGCTTCACAGCAACAGCGTTGTAAAAATACAGTAATGTAAAAACATGTAAAATATAAAAATGGCTAATCTAAATATACAAATGAATAAAGTAAACAATAACATAAGAGATATAAAATATACAGAGGCTGGTATGTGCAAAACTTTGGCATTAATGTACATGTTGGTCTATGTTTTATAACTACAGGATCCTGAGATACTCTATTTTCCCACAGAAAAACAAATTTGTTCCACCAACACAAGTTTAGACCAAATCCAAAGGAAATTCTAATTTCCCAGCGTTCACCCAGCATTCAAACGCACCATGGATGCACAAATCAGTCAGGCGAGAAAAGAGTCTCAAAAGAATTTTTGTACTTGTAAACTGATCTGTGTGTAATGTAGTTTTGTCCGTGTTTACCAGGTGATGTGTGTGTAGGAGCTGAAGTTACACACGAAAATGTAAACACAAGCTACAAATCAACAGTTACACACACACACACACACACACACACACACACACACACACACACACACACACACACAGATCTTTTGAAACTTTTTCCTCCCCATATGTTTTCGGTTTCCAAATGTGAGTTTGTAATAAATCTAGTTGCATTTCTTACACTGACTTTACACCGGTTGGCTCTAAAGCACTGATGGGTCTAATAGCTAGGCTTAGTGAGTTAGAACGTGTCTGTTTGAATGTGTCATTTCGTCTAAATGGAATTGAAAGCTGATTATGATTTAGACATATTCCTCCAGTGGAAACAGGTTTGCTGCACACAGCTGGGCTGATTACAGCACACACGTTTATCCTGTTGACTCTGCTTTAGGAAAATAACCTCAATGCTTGAGCCAACAGTCAGTCCAACAGTGTCATAAATGCAACTCGGTTTACTATTAAAGTCCCATTTTACGTTTTCCACTTTAATGAAAGAAACAGAAAACTACTTTGTAAAACAGGACAGATTGGGTAGCAGAGCTAAGTTCCCGTTTTCTTTACCAAACTCCCGGAAACAGCTGCTCTATAGTGATGCGTCGGTCGCGAACGAACCGGCTCTAAGAGCCGGCTCTTTGAAGTGAACGACGGGAGCCGGCTCGTCATTGGGAGCCGTCCCCTACCCTCCCCCCTTGCTTTGGTGAAAGCTACAGGCGATTGGTCAGCATGTGTAACTGTGTGTCCAGACTGTCCACACACAGAGCAGCAGGGGCGGGGAAGAGGGAGGATCAGACTCACACACACAGCAGAGCACATGCGGGCGGAGGGAGACGAGAGCGAATGAGGAGGAGGGAAAAGATGAGAGAGAGAGGAGAGTGCGACGAAGACGGTGAGAAAATGAGCGCCAGCAGTTGGAAAGTGAAGATTTCTTAAAGTGTTCAGTTATTAAATCCATAGAAATGATAAATATTTGATATATTGCATTTGTTTACATTAGTAAATCATTTTACATATAGTTTAGCATTATTTTGGTTATAAATGTACTCTACGCAACAGAAAATCTGAGGAGCCACTTGGGAGCCTAAAGAGCCGGCTCTTTTTGGTGAGCTGAGCCAAAAGAACCGGCTCTCTAAAAAGAGCTCTTGGCACAGCCAATCGTAGGAGAGCCCTTCTAGCCAATCAGAGGTGATAAAGGCGGGACCTTCCCTGGACATCCTACGGTTCCAAATACCGTATGCCGCCACGAACTTCTCATTCAGGAAGTAAGGTCGGGACAGTTTCCCGCTCTAGACCCGGTGTCCGGTTTCTCTCTCAGCGGACCTCCACGGTGTTCAGGCCCATGGCTGCTCAGGTTTCGGAGGTGTCGGCGCTCCTCGCGGCTGCTCGGGGCCGTTACCGGCACCTGTTCGGAGGGGAGCCCCAGGCTGCGTGCTGCGCGCCGGGAAGAGTGAACCTGATCGGGGAGCACACCGACTACAACCAGGGATTCGTGTTACCGATGGTAAAGCCCCCCCCCCCCCCCCCCCCCCCCCAGAGCTGCTGCTGCCTGCCGAGTGGAAACAGTTTAACGTGTGTGTGTGTGTGTGTGTGTGTGTGTGTGTGTGTGTGTGTGCGTGTGTGCGTGCGTGCGTGCGTGTGTCAGGCTCTGCCTCTTGTTACTGTGGTAGTGGGGAGTCAGACCCCCGGTCGGGATGTAACCATAGTAACCACAGAAGATGCTGAGGAGACCCAGAGAGTGGACTTCTCCCTGCCCAGTGATGGGTCTGCTCTGCCTCCTGGGACTCCGCCCTGGGCCAACTATGTGAAGGGAGTCCTCCAACACTACAGAGGTACCTGTTAACCTCTTCCTCTCTCACCAGGATCTACAGAGCCTGGCAGGGGTCATGTGGGAACATTATTGTGAGGTCTGAGAATCCGTTCGCATAGATTCACAATCTAATGTCCTGATCCCAGACAGGATCCAGTGACTTCAGTTCACACTAGACGTGGAGTTCTGATTTGTTATTGTTACTGAAACAAAAGCTTTATTTATCTGAGACACAACAGGAAACAACATGTTTATTGTTCTCATGTGGTTATCTTCACAAGCTGAGAGTTTCACTAACAGGGAGTTGAACTCCATTCATATAATTTAATATATATTAATTGACGTATATATAACCATATTTTATACATATCATGATAATAACATACAACTGTTAGTATTTTATCATCGTAGTGTTGTATAAAATTCTTCAACATGAAAACCTTTAACAGCAGTTTTTAAATGAAGCAAAACCAAACCCAGCTCCATGTACTCCTAATCCTCTTCTAATCCCTCTGGAATAACTCTGGTGAGGAGACCATGTGTTATAAACTACAGATGAAACTAAAGCAAACTTCGATACCATACAACTGTTTGTATTTTAATATTGTGGTGTTTCACTAACTAAACCAGCTCCATGTACTCCTGTTCCTCTCCTTTCTCCTCTGGACAAACTGTGTGATGTTGGTCCTTGTAGCTTTATAAACTGTGTCATGGTGGTCCTTGTAGTTTTATAAACTGTGTGAGGGTGGTCCTTGTAGTTTTATAAACTGTGTCATGGTGGTCCTTGTAGTTTTATAAACTGTATGATGGTTGGTCCTTGTAGTTTTATAAACTGTGTGATGGTGGTCCTTGTAGTTTTATAAACTGTGTGATGGTGGGTCCTTGTAGTTTTATAAACTGTGTGATGGTGGGTCCTTGTAGTTTTATAAACTGTGTCATGGTTGGTCCTTGTAGCTTTATAAACTGTGTCATGGTGGTCCTTGTAGTTTTATAAACTGTGTGAGGGTGGTCCTTGTAGTTTTATAAACTGTGTCATGGTGGTCCTTGTAGTTTTATAAACTGTGTGATGGTGGTCCTTGTAGTTTTATAAACTGTGTGATGGTGGGTCCTTGTAGTTTTATAAACTGTGTGATGGTGGGTCCTTGTAGTTTTATAAACTGTGTGAGGGTGGTCCTTGTAGTTTTATAAACTGTGTGATGTTGGTCCTTGTAGTTTTATAAACTGTGTGATGGTGGGTTCTTGTAGTTTTATAAACTGTGTGATGGTGGTCCTTTTAGTTTTACCAACTGTGTGATGGTGGTCCTTGTAGTTTTATAAACTGTGTGATGGTGGTCCTTTTAGTTTTACCAACTGTGTGATGGTGGTCCTTGTAGTTTTATAAACTGTGTGATGGTGGGTCCTTGTAGTTTTATAAACTGTGTGATGTTGGTCCTTGTAGTTTTATAAACTGTGTGATGGTGGTCCTTGTAGTTTTATAAACTGTGTGAGGGTGGTCCTTGTAGTTTTATAAACTGTGTCATGGTGGGTCCTTGTAGTTTATAAACTGTGTGATAGTGGGTCCTTGTAGTTTTATAAACTGTGTGATGTTGGTCCTTGTAGTTTTATAAACTGTGTGAGGGTGGTCCTTGTAGTTTTATAAACTGTGTCATGGTGGGTCCTTGTAGTTTATAAACTGTGTGATAGTGGGTCCTTGTAGTTTTATAAACTGTGTGATGTTGGTCCTTGTAGTTTTATAAACTGTGTGATGGTGGGTCCTTGTAGTTTTATAAACTGTGTGAGGGTGGTCATTGTAGTTTTATAAACTGTGTGATGTTGGTCCTTGTAGTTTTATAAACTGTGTGATGGTGGTCCTTGTAGTTTTATAAACTGTGTGATGGTGGTCCTTGTAGTTTTATAAACTGTGTGATGGTGGGTCCTTGTAGCTTTATAAACTGTGTGATGGTGGGTCCTTGTAGCTTTATAAACTGTGTCATGGTGGGTCCTTGTAGTTTTATAAACTGTGTGAGGGTGGTCCTTGTAGCTTTATAAACTGTGTGATGTTGGTGCTTGTAGTTTTATAAACTGTGTGATGGTGGGTCCTTGTAGTTTTATAAACTGTGTGATGGTGGGTCCTTGTAGTTTTATAAACTGTGTGAGGGTGGTCCTTGTAGTTTTATAAACTGTGTGATGTTGGTCCTTGTAGTTTTATAAACTGTGTGATGTTGGTCCTTGTAGTTTTATAAACTGTGTGATATTGGTCCTTGTAGTTTTATAAACTGTGTGATGGTGGTCCTTGTAGTTTTATAAACTGTGTGAGGGTGGTCCTTGTAGTTTTATAAACTGTGTCATGGTGGGTCCTTGTAGTTTATAAACTGTGTGATAGTGGGTCCTTGTAGTTTTATAAACTGTGTGATGGTGGTCCTTGTAGTTTTATAAACTGTGTGAGGGTGGTCCTTGTAGTTTTATAAACTGTGTCATGTTGGGTCCTTGTAGTTTATAAACTGTGTGATGGTGGGTCCTTGTAGTTTTATAAACTGTGTGATGGTGGTCCTTGTAGTTTTATAAACTGTGTGATGGTGGTCCTTGTAGTTTTATAAACTGTGTGATGGTGGTCCTTGTAGTTTTATAAACTGTGTGATGGTGGGTCCTTGTAGTTTTATAAACTGTGTCATGGTGGGTCCTTGTAGTTTTATAAACTGTGTGATGGTGGGTCCTTATAGCTTTATAAACTGCGATGGTGGGTCCTTGTAGTTTTTTAAACTGTGTGATGGTGGGTCCTTGTAGTTTTATAAACTGTGTGATGGTGGGTCCTTGTAGCTTTATAAACTGTGTGATGGTGGGTCCTTGTAGTTTTATAAACTGTGTGATGGTGGGTCCTTGTAGTTTTATAAACTGTGTGATGGTGGTCCTTGTAGTTTTATAAACTGTGTGATGGTGGTCCTTGTAGTTTTATAAACTGTGTGATGGTGGGTCCTTGTAGTTTTATAAACTGTGTCATGGTGGGTCCTTGTAGTTTTATAAACTGTGTGATGGTGGGTCCTTATAGCTTTATAAACTGCGATGGTGGGTCCTTGTAGTTTTTTAAACTGTGTGATGGTGGGTCCTTGTAGTTTTATAAACTGTGTGATGGTGGGTCCTTGTAGCTTTATAAACTGTGTGATGGTGGGTCCTTGTAGTTTTATAAACTGTGTGATAGGGCTGTCGCGGTTGAGGAATTCCCCCTGCGGTGATTCAGGGTGGCTTAATATTGCGGTGTGCGATATTATTGCAGCCCTTTTTTTATTGCAGTACTATCTAAACATAATGTTTACACATTTAAAAAAGGTTAAAAATTGCCGTGCCTTCTTTAATAACACTTTACTGAATGCAGATCAAAGGGCAGTAACAACGCAGATCGCAGTAACGTTTGTTTCTCCGACAGTCGGAGTCCGACTGAACTTAAAAACAACAAAATTCAGGAGGTTAAACTTTTAAATGCAAATTTGGCTGCAGCATCTAACAAATAAGAAACAAGTCCCCATTTTGTTTAGTTGTTAAAAATCAAGCATAAAAAATTACATGTACCGGGCGCGCGCGCGCCGGGGGGCGGGCGCACTGTCATTTCACTTTCACACACACGAATGACGGTGCTTTATAGCTCGGTCACGTCCTTGTTACCCACAAGGAAAACCAGCATGTTAACCATATACGGTTTGAGAGAGGATCTGAGAGGGGTGGCAACATTTCCAGCAACACTGAAAACCCTCTCGGATGGTGTGCTCGTTGCACTAACGCACACGTACCTGCGTGCGAGTAAAGGGAATCTCTCCCGGTTGTTGCTCCACCATGTCAGGGGGATTTCTTTAGGGTGGATGCATTCCTCCTGCAGGTAGCGAGTGAGCTCCAGCTCGGCTCAAACTCTCTTCGGGACGGTTGCAGAAGCAGTACTTGTCCGGGACTTCAGCAGGTCTCCGAGCGTTTATTATTATTTTTTTGCCACTGGTGGCAGCTCTGTCTCGGCCAAGGACTCTGGCTGCGCAGCAGCTGACGTACTGAAAACCAAAGTGCTCCCAAAGGAGCGAAGTAACGTTTCGTTTTGATACCAGTGCAGCCATCCTTCTCAACATGCATCATTGAGTTGAACCAAGTTCAGTAATCGCGGTGGCCCATGATGCAGCGCGGTGGGCTTCTTCATATTGCGATATTTCATTTTTGCGGTTACCGCGACAGCCCTACTGTGTGATGGTGGGTCCTTGTAGTTTTATAAACTGTGTGATGGTGGGTCCTTGTAGTTTTATAAACTGTGTGATGGTGGGTCCTTGTAGTTTTATAAACTGTGTGATGGTGGTCCTTGTAGTTTTATAAACTGTGTGATGGTGGTCCTTGTAGTTTTATAAACTGTGTGATGATGGTCCTTGTAGTTTTATAAACTGTGTGATGATGGTCCTTGTAGTTTTATAAACTGTGTGATGATGGTCCTTGTAGTTTTATAAACTGTGTGATGGTGGTCCTTGTAGTTTTATAAACTGTGTGATGATGGTCCTTGTAGTTTTATAAACTGTGTGATGGTGGTCCTTGTAGTTTTATAAACTGTGTGATGGTGGTCCTTGTAGTTTTATAAACTGTGTGATGGTGGTCCTTGTAGTTTTATAAACTGTGTGCTGGTGGGTCCTTGTAGTTTTATAAACTGTGATGGTGGTCCTTGTAGTTTTATAAACTGTGTGCTGGTGGGTCCTTGTAGTTTCATAAACTGTGATGGGAGTCCATGTAGTTTTATAAACTGTGTGATGGTGGTCCTTGCAGTTTTATAAACTGTGATGGTGGTCCTTGTAGTTTTATAAACTGTGTGCTGGTGGGTCCTTGTAGTTTCATAAACTGTGATGGGAGTCCATGTAGTTTTATAAACTGTGTGAGGGTGGTCCTTGTAGTTTTATAAACTGTGTCATGGTGGTCCTTGTAGTTTTATAAACTGTGTGATGGTGGTCCTTGTAGTTTTATAAACTGTGCTGGTGGGTCCTTGTAGTTTTATAAACTGTGTGCTGGTGAGTCCTTGTAGTTTTATAA